GTAACTATTGGAACAAGTTCCCTTAGCAATGACTAGGAGGCAATCAATGCTTTGATGCAATCTGTTAGAATAAATAGCAATACAGGTGCATTCAAGCAAACACTCTGACGTCAATCGTTTACAGGAGCTCAACATCACGAAGCACTGTGGACAAGTGTTTTTGATCCCGACAATGTGATTGTAGTTTGTTAATACTGGGTCGACTGAGGCGGGTTTTTTGTTTTAAAAAACCGCAGGGAGAGAATGTAAATTTGTGGACATGTCTTCTACCTTGTAACACTTAATCAGCCATGTTTTCTGTCATTGAATTCTTGACATGATCTTTGCATATTAGTCATACTGTGGTAATGATTGTGATATTTTATTGACATTGAATTCATTCTACAGATAAGACAATTCGTTTCATTTGCTTTGCAAACAACAAGGCTTCGTAAGTTAAAAACAGGATTCCGAGACATTTAATCCTTGACACGATACATCACGCTGGCCCGATTTCTAAGCCTCCAATAACATATCTAGGGCATTTCGAAAAATATTCTTGTAAAAATGTATGCTTTTCATAATATGAGTCATATCTCCAAAAACGAAAAAACTATTCCACAATTCAAATATAATTAGAGTGCGAACCTCTCCATAAAAATGTAATCATTGCGTAACAGCTATTTGTAACAAACTAGTAATATATAATGATATTTGACGGAATTAAAAAAGGGTTATGCTTATCCTTCAAAATTGGTAATTATATTACAGATAATGCGTCCTCGTATCAATGCGTAGGCGTTACCGCTCAGATCTAACAGGTTTACATGGACAAAACTGAGGCTAAATGTAAAGGTAATAGCAACTGAAAGTTTTTTGTTAAAACAACTGCATCTGTCGCTTGACTGCACTTTAAGACGTTTTGATAATTGAGTTACTAATATTCATTTGTGTGGTTGCTTCAAAACAGCACGTAAACCATTCCATAATTATGTGCAGTCAACAAAACTGGTCTTGTCAACTTAGTTGAAAGCAGAAAATGTTTTGGGCATAAACTCTTGACATTATCTTTTGGCGTTATGGACATTTTGTATTGGCAGTATTTTGAAATAATATTATTGAGGTAGAATTAAAGGTATTTCTCGCAAACCAGGATAAAGTAACAGATAGACATAGAAGAACTTTTACAATGGTTTCTGTTAAAATATTTTAATTTAATACTAAATTGAGGATATGCCTACAAGAAATTACTGATAGAGAACACAGATAATTATTCAAAAGTGGCAACAGATAACACTAAGAAGTCTTTAGATTTAAAATTAGGGCAGTATTTATGTTATATGCAAGAATCTAACTTGGCGAAGTTAATTGAAACTGAGGACATCAAATGATGCATTGGTGACTGAGACCGGGAGATGGAAAATATCCCCATAATGTATCGAAAATGTAACCTCAGTATCATTGACCTCAGAGATACATTTCACTACTTATTTGTAAATAAAGCATTTTATAAATATGGGATATGTTCTGTACCTAAATATACAAATGTTAAACCAATGTATGCACAATAAATTATCATCTTTATTGCTCAAAATTAGGAACATATTCGTCTTTAGTAGATAAGAATCACGTTTGAAGCAACGTGTCCCACTACCTCCAACAGAGACCGCAGGTGAGCATTTTCAATAAGCAAATATTTTGTGGTCATAAGTCTCGCACCGATCGCATCTTATCGACAGTAGTATTTACCTGCTGACAACAGTTTGTTTCCTTCTTAAAATAAACAAATGTGGCTGACGACTGATACAAAGGTATCAAAAACAACAATTAGCACGTGTCCTTGTATAGAGCAAACTTCAGAACGTCACCCCACACAACGACTTTGTGAACATTGTACTGTTGCCCGGTTACAGCAATTATGATGTCTTTTCTATTTCCGTTACACAACGAATGTACAAAGGCAAGGTGATGTTTCAATATTTTAGTATATTTTACAAAGTTATGTTCATAGCCCGACTGTGATGTCATGATCCATGTCCAGTTCTTACAAAGGAATGACCATTGCCGGGCAAACGGAAGAGGTAGCCACACTGGTAGCTATGAAATACACAAAGCCATTTTAGAAAGTGGTCAAATGTAACATATGTTATATTTGGGATTACACTTTCTTAGTAAAGTACACATTCTAGTACTTTTGGGGGGGTTGAGTCCCGTCCGTCATTCGAACCCACACCCTCAGAGTCAGGCACCTAATCGCCAGCACACAAAGTCAGACGGCTAGACCGCTCAGCCACCGCGGCTTCCACAAAAATGGAAGTCGGACAACTGGTAGTCTAGACTGCGGACTTTGTGTACCCCTCTTATAAGTGTTAATTGGCACTGCTCCCACGGCCGAAAGCTATGAAATACACAATGCCATTTTAGAAAGTGGTCAAATGTAACATATGTTATATTTGGGATTACACTTTCCAAACCCAAAACAAAAAAAGTACTAGAATCTGTACTTTACTAAGAAAGTGTAATCCCAAATATAACATATGTAACACTTATCAGAGGGGTACACAAAGTCCGCAGTGTAGACTACCAGTTGTCCGACTTCCATTTTTGTGGAAGCCGCGGTGGCGAAGGTCTAGGCGTCTGACTTTGTGTGCTGGCGATTAGGTGCCTAAATCTGAGGGTGTGGGTTCGAATCCCCAAAAGTACTAGAATGTGTACTTTACTAAGAAAGTGTAATTCCAAATATAACATATGTTACACACTGGTAGCTTCCAATGCTCAATTCAAATTCATTTCCTTACAGAAGATTATACAATAGAAATAGTGTCAGTGTTTGTTGTATTTAAACACATATCTGAGCTTATTAAAAACAGTATGTATTGTGATTTTAGAGGCGTATCCGTCCATCCTCATTTTCGTGTAATATGTGCATTGTAGTTTGGGCTGGTGAATCTGAAGAAAGGTCAACTTGACTATTGCATTAGCATGTGGTCGCGATCAGGAAATCTTAGCATGAACGGTTTAGAGTCTATGTAAAAAATGTTCCATATTTTCTGGTATTTTCATGATAATATAAAAAATGTTCCATATTTTCTGGTATTTTCATGATATTAAATGTCACAATTGTGGTTCTTTCTTCACATATATCGCCCAGATCTCTGTGTTCGAGGAAAGTTATTTAGATAAACCTTTGCGTTTGTGTCATGAGAACGATACTGGGGAATTATTGACATGATACATTGTGATGCTAATTTGAATGTTTTATTAAAGCCATTGAAGCAGTGTTGCTAAAGCAGTCCTCGCATCTTATGCAATGCCTGACGCTGTCTCTACAACTACCGACAGTCGATAAGGATGCAGTCCCACAACCTTGTGTCTAGGAACTCAGAGATGTAAAAGATGTGAGTAATCCTTGATATCTCAATTAACAAATGACCTTCTTCGATTTCCACATAGTCTACGTGGCATTGTTACACCGGAAGGTTAATTGACCGGTGACTTTTTGCCTCACAGTCGTTATACAAGAGAAGGGGGAGGCATATCGATGGGAGGTGTGTGTGAGGGGAAGGTGGATAGACGGGGATGGACGCGACTTACTGGGGTTATGAGGGACATCATCTGTAAGGTCGGTGGGACAAACATCCGTAGTCAAGTGAAAGTCAAGATAATGCTGTGTGGATGACAGCGTGCGGTCACTGTCCTGTTTGCTGTGGGCAGAATCGATGGCGGCTGTGACCCACGTTTTGGAATGATTACTTCAGTTGATCTCTCTTTGTTTATAGGTACTGTGCTGGTTGCACGAGGACGAGATGCTGAATTAGCAAATAAAGCAAAATTTTATGTAATAACGTTATTGCCTATCACGAAAAGGATAAATAAACCTTCGATGACTTAGTTCAGAGCTTGAAAATCTTGCCATTTATAGCATCAAAAACGTATGCATCGAGAGATGCATTTGGATGGATGGATGGAGGGATGGATGGAGGGACAGGCAGAGACAACACACATAATATTTGTGTGTTAGTTTGTCATGTAAAACGTATGCTTCAAAGTAACACTACGAAGTATTCAATAAACAATGTTTTTAATGTATTTCTCATGAGAGAAGGAACTGTTTAATGCCAGTTGAGCAGTATGTTGGTGGCATCTGGTCGGTCTTTTAGTAAAATGTTCTCGGCAAAAGATGGAAGTTTATCGTGAAATACAAACTAATTAGCGAGAACGTTTCCCTGGTGTTGGAGTATGTACAAAGAGGGCATATCAGTGAACCACTAAGAGAACCGTGAATACACGTTGTCACTCTGTCAATCCTACTTAAACTATAATAACATATCAGCAAGCGATTTTAAGTGACCATGCAGATCTCACCATCAGACCAATTTCACTTAAAAACTCTGAAGATATTATGAAAATATATTTCTTTAAAGAAGTATTACATCTTAATTGAGATGAGGGAATGAATAAGTTTAGTTTTACACCGCTCTTAGCAATATTCCACCTATGTGGCTTCACACGTTGTATCCATGTGGAGAATCAAACCCGGGTCTTCGGCGTGACAAGCTGAGCTACCCAACCGCCCCAATTGAGATGACACACCGATTAAGCAACAACTTCTTAACGTGCAACTCTTTCAGTTAAAATTGTCACCACAATTGTAAGTAGTTACCCTGAAAGAAAATGCACATCCTCCCAGCTCAGCTCAATACTTGATGAAAGCTGTTGTTTATTCAAAACATTGTAATCAATGATTTATTATCCTATTGTTTGTTTACGTGTGAAATAAACAGGGTTACTCTTTAGTGTAGTGTATCTAGCAACCATTGCTCTTAAACCCAAGCTTGAATATCATTTCGTGATGCAGACAAATATTGAGTCACCGCTACTGTCCCAATAGACGCCGTGTTTGTTCTGTGAAGCATTTGAAATATATGCATACAGTACAGATTGCGTTGCAGTCCTTATTGACTGCTGATTGTATACAGAGATAATTTCAGCTGAACAGAACATAACATGCGATGGATCTCTTGGAATCAGATCGTCAGTTTATTGAGTTGGTACATCAGTTGATGTCAGTTAGGATCCAAACAGGTCCTTTAATGCTCGAACCGCCCTTCCCACCACGCCGACCTATAAATAACACAGCACCATGACGTCACAATATTTACATTTAGGACAGAAGTGACAGATGAGCTTGGAAGTTCCATCACAAGCGAAAACATAAATTCAGACCAGGCTTGTCATGGGTATTTAACGTAAAACATGTGTCTGGTGTTTATGCAATTCAAACACTTGGAAACACAATGCAAACACAGATATAAAGAGGTAGAGCGTAGAAAAACATCATCAGACTGAAGCACCTGCTAAGATATGTCCCCACACGAATGTCAATCACGAATGAACTTATCACCTGTACATATTGAGCTAGATCTAATCGGAGGTGGTTGTGTGATTATCGAAGTGGCATTAGAAGGAAATTTTGTTAAACAGCATCACGACTCACTGAGGTAGAATGTCGAACACATTTACTATTTTATCTTAATAACCAGTGCCCCGTTCTACAATGCGATCACAGTTCTAAGGTGATCGTTACTTCCATACTTTAACAGAGGCATATGTATCGTATCGCTAAGATCGCTTTCTTAATCCCAGATTGAAAATGTTTTCTTTTCTATTATAGGATTTAATATGTAAATTACCTTAATATATTATCATATATATGATTTAGTTTCATAAATATGTTTCTGATAGGGGTAAATGTTCTGGAAACACAATATTGGAATTTAATATATACTGAGAGAAACAAATAAGGGAACATCACTTCACGGCAGTGTTCCTATATTTATTCCCAGATATCCTCCCACAACGCTATACAAAGCTTGTGATGAAAACTTGAAAGTATGAAAGGAACACTTGAATTTTCCTGTGTTCCTTTATTTGTTTCTCTCAGTATATGTGTGAATACAGTAAAACATGTCCAAGACTACTGACCGCACTGCCCCCTGTCCGACAGTTTCGCGGGAGGGTGAACACACTGCGGTCCTTGATGCCAGGCTGGAACGACGTGATGAAGTAGACAACGTCGGTCTTGGCTGGAGACAGAGTATAATCACTATAATGACTCGGTACACAGAGCAGGCAGTTCCACAATCTATAGCAGCACATCGTGGCGAGGTTATATCAACAGGAAATGTTATGTAGGATCTATTTTAACAGTTTCAACAATTCCTGGGAATGACAAGGGTTATATAGACGGGTGTATTTAGCAAAGCACACAGACTTATGAAGCATGTAATAAAAAAGCAGTCAAAAAAGCATTAGAGTAAGCTTTCAAGCAAAAATAATAACAGTATTTTTTGTAACGGTCCTTTGACTATTATATAGATTGTTAAGTCGCAGTGGTGATTGTTGAAAACGTTATTGACAATGGCAGCAAAGGAAACAAGAATCTTGAAATCAGAATTAGTTGAGGGTCAGATGCCCTTCAAACTAAGTCCCTTAAGCCATTCCATTGAGATTGATTAATTAATACACCTGCATTGTTAAGGTTTTGATCAAGTCTCTTACTTGGTTTACCCTACGAGGTTCTGTCAAGCTGGCTAGGGCTAGACAGATCAAATCTAGTGCTTATCTCCCAAAGCCACAATCCACAAAGGTATTAATCAGGTATTTAAGTACAGCTCTCTGTTTCCTGCTACACATGTATTTATTCTCTTTATATATACTCCTTTGTGCATATTTCAATAGTGATGTTATATATATCTTTGTATATACTCTGTCTTCTGTGCATACTGTGATAGCATGTAATGTTAATGATGCTAATGTTTCTGCGGGAGATAGCTACCTACGTTGTGAAAACTTGCTCAGTCCTTTTCCTTGTGAATAAACTATGTTTATATCAACCCTGAGTCACAAGGTGAACTGAACATGTTTTACGAGACTTTAAATATTATCAGGATTTCCTGCTTGCCGTTTTCCCGGAGAGAGGAAGGTCGGCGGTTCGATCGTCTTGCCGCATCATACCATAACACGTTAAAAATGGTCCCCAGTTTCATTGACGTGCGCCTGGCATTTCGAACATGAAACAAGAACTAGTCGGCTAGGAGTCGTGATGTGTGGTATCCATTTTATATTGCAGCTTGTTTGTTTGCTTGTATGTTTGTTTTGTTTTGTTTTAAGCTGCACTCAGCAATATCCCAGCTATATGACGGCGGTCAATCGAGTCCTGACCAGACAATCCAGTGATCAGCATCATGAACATAGATCTCAGCAGTCGGTATATGATGACATGTGTCAACCAAGTCAGTGAGCCTGACCACCTGATATTGTTAGTATGGGTTGCTGAAGATCAGTTCGAACCCTGATCTTCACTGGTATGAAACAAAGCATCTCCATGGGCTGGTGCTATACATGTACTTGCATGTCGCTGTGTAAGTGTAATCGTCTTGACCACAATGTCTACCCTATTTCACCTCACCACATGCATGTAATATCCCACATATCATATCATATTCATCCTCAGCAATATGTGTAATAGCGGGAATGTACCGTTGTTCATTGTGCCGTATGACGCCTCAACCATAGGGACGCAGCCGTCGGCCGTGACGACGAGGTTGACGACGTTGTCGGTGCCAGGTTTCTGGTACTGCCACGTGTTCACCTTCAGCGCCATGTCGCCGTAGCCAAATGAGGTGTTGCCCAGGAAACGGGAAATGGCTGATGGTGATACACACATGTATGTAGGCTAAGTTCAACATATGTATGATTCCATTTTTAAAGGCACTATTTCACACCACACTTCTCTAAAAAAATATATCATTTCTCTCAATGCATTTCTCTCAATAATACTAACTATCAGCCCTCAGGGAAGCTACTATATAATTTATTCAAAACAATTACGTATTTACATGAATTTAATGAATTAATGGAGCGTTGCATTAAATCGACTCTCGCGCCCTCTATCGACCGAACATTATTTCAAGTGAACCCCATAGAGTTATGTCCCTTGGAGCGCTCTTTACGAATATCCTACGCACAACTTGTGATTGAAACCATTTCGGAAAACACCGACAACAACGCATGCGACAGTTTTCGATGTACGGAGCAATTGTTTACATTCCATATATGACAAGTGTTCTCTCTTTGGAAGCTGTTGGCCTCGAAGTTTCAATTATCGATTTCAGGCAAGTCGTAAGGGATAATAAGTCTTTTACTGCATCAATAGGAAACTAAGGTGAGAGTATATGCGCCAGTATATATAATATAATATAGGCCAAAATATTGTCGAAAATATGTGAAATTATGCCTTTAATATCAAACGTTAGGACTATCACATTTGAATGACATTTTCATCACATTTATATGAGCCATCGTTAGCAGAACTCATTAGATAATAATTAGAGACAGTTATCTTATGTTCGTAATTACGTCACTCGCCGTACATTATTACGACAATCATAATACGTCACCTACCAGGTACGCATGGCTCTCTCATTTGTTCCGTGGTGTCCAGAACTGTACACCCGGTTTCTGATTTCACGTACTCTTTACCCTGAACATATGTATAGATTTAAAACAAGGGCAACAGTTCATTCGCAGCTTGACCGAAGTTATCATCCATGTGTTTGGCTGTCACAACAAAGAAGCAGTCGGAGATGATTAACATGAGTCATGCATCAAAACTATCTCATAGTTCCATACCCTAACGTACAGTTGATGGGCCTATGTCAGTATGTAGAACAACCTGTGATCCTCAGAGTATACTCATACTCTTCACTGGCGTCACAGCAGTTAAGGTAACCTTGATGTAATCAGCAGGTTGACAGTCAAAGTGTGGCGATGACTGCTTGAACAAACGTTGATGTCAGCATTGCCACTTAAATATCTTATGCAAAAACACTGGAGACAAAAGAACTGACAAACACGAAGGAATGTAACAGTGAAGAACACATTCGAGTATTTGGATGGGTTGAGTCCATAAATACGTTTTTCACCTCACTGAAAGTGAACAGGATCCGTATAAGTCAATCTGTTGTCATTTAGATGTTGTTACGTCCGGCCAACCTTGGGTCCCTGTTGTCGATGGCGATCTGTCCTCTATAATGTCAGCAATTTGCCTAGGTCAATGTACACTCAAGGTAAAGAGCCAGCCTGTCGGTGTTTGACATCTGGTTTATGTCAATGGACGCTTTCAGGTGTAACACTGTCTATGGTGTTATTACAGGATTTGGTATGGTATTTCCTATCATATATATTGCAAGAACAAGTGCTACAGGCTCACGATTAGTGTTTGATAATAACAACTCACGTGGTGGCTTAGCATGACACTTGTTGACTCTCAGGGATTAGCAAGAAATTCCAACGCTTCCTGTGTAGTCGATGATTTATAAGAAGATCAGGAAAGGAAATCTGAAGTCGCACATTATACAGCATGTCTTTGCATTATACAGTGTTACAGACTATGTCTTTGCAATCTGTACAAAGTGGCCAGGTTCTAAGACAGCTGTTTTCGCAATTGTGAAAAACGAAAGACACATTCATCTGTTATTGTGCCGTCATTTTGTAACGTATTTTATCCTGTGCAACTGAGATATATGCTCTACATTCACAAAGAAGGATTGCTTAGGTTCTCCCTATTTTTTATATGCCCCATCTTCCGCCCACTATGAATTTTCATTTCGACGTTGAAATTTTTTTTCTTCTCGATTTTCCCCGCAGCTGTCGAATTGAATGCCCTGATGTGATATACATAGTACTCGTACTAGAGTACACACATAAAAAACAGGTTAACGTGATCTTTCTTTAGCTAAATATTTTAAAGCCAATCGATTAGAAGTACATCATAAACTAATTTCAAAACCATTTTCAGGTTATATACATTTTTATGTCTCACAAAAGTAAGTCAAATAATTAGTGAAAAGCATTATATTATTGTTATTTATTTCAGTCTCCCGCCCGTCCGCACTCTTGTTGGTTGAGGTTGGGGATGAATATCACATAAAATATACGGATTGACATATTCTGGGAATGATTTTACTTTACAAAACTGAACAAAAATCGACATACGTTATGTTCTATCCAAGTTCTGTAAAACACTACTTCACGTAGTTTCCAAACAGCAACTATTATACGGTGAAATATACTACGGATTGGTCTACTTTTTGTAGGAACATGTAGATGTTTCAGTTTCTTCCGTAAAATATTGTTTAAAACATACTCACCGCTTTGTAGTCAATTATGACATTTGTTACTTGCACTGTCCCGTCGGGCTGATTCATGTGTGCCTCCAGCCTCATCATCTTTGCGTAATAGTCGTAGGACATTAGGTTGTACCCCTGGTAAACAAAGTACACAGAGGACATTAGGTTGTACCCCTGCTAAACATAGTAGATAGAGGACATTAGGTTGTACCCCTGGTAAACATAGTAGATAGAGGACATTAGGTTGTACCCCTGGTAAACATAGTACATAGAGGACATTAGGTTGTACCCCTGGTAAACATAGTACATAGAGGACATTAGGTTGTACCCCTGGTAAACATAGTAGATAGAGGACATTAGGTTGTACCCCTGGTAAACATAGTAGATAGAGGTAGAGGACATTAGGTTGTACCCTGGTAAACATAGTACATAGGACATTAGGTTGTACCCCTGGTAAACATAGTAGATAGAGGACATTAGGTTGTACCCTGGTAAACATAGTAGATAGAGGACATTAGGGTTGTACCCCTGATAGTAGATAGAGGACATTAGGTTGTACCCCTGGTAAACATAGTAGATAGAGGACATTAGGTTGTACCCCTGGTAAACATAGTACATAGAGGACATTAGGTTGTACCCCTGGTAAACATAGTAGATAGAGGACATTAGGTTGTACCCCGGTTGTAATGGTAAACATAGTAGATAGAGGACATTAGGTTGTACCCCATAGTAGTAATGTAAACATAGTAGATAGAGGACATTTGGTTGAACATTAGCCAGGTAGTATAGAGGACATTAGGTTGTAAACAAACATAGTAGATAGAGGACATTAGGTTGTACCCAGGTAGGTTGTAATGAAACATAGTAGATAGAGGACATTTGGTTGGGGAAACATAGGACATTTGGTTGGTTGTAACCATAGTACATAGAGGACATTAGGTTGAAAAACCAGGTGGTAATAGTAAACATAGTAGAGAGGACATTTGGTTGTACCCCAGGTGGTAATGTAAACATAGTAAACATAGAGGACATTTGGTTGAAGCCAGGTGGTAATGTAAACATAGTAGATAGAGGACATTTGGTTGATAGAGGACATTTGGTTGTAGCAGGTAATGTAAACATAGTAGAGTAGAGGACATAGAGGACATTTGGTTGAAGCCAGGTGGTAATGTGAACATAGTAGATAGAGGACATTTGGTTGAAGTTGTGGTAATGTAGATAGAGGACATAGAACATAGAGGACATTTAGTTGTACCCAGCCAGGTAATGGTAACATAGTAGATAGAGGACATTTGGTTGAAGCCAGGTGGTAATGGTAACACAGTAGATAGAGGACATTTGGTTGTACCCAGGTGGTAATGGTAACACAGTAGATAGAGGACATTTGGTTGAAGCCAGGTGGTAATGGTAACACAGTAGATAGAGGACATTTGGTTGAATCCTTGTGGTAATGTGGTACATAGAACATAGAGGACATTTGGTTGTACCCAGGTGGTAATGTAAACACAGTAGATAGAGGACATTTGGTTGAAGCCAGGTGGTAATGTAAACATAGTAGATAGAGGACATTTGGTTGAATCCAGGTGGTAATGTAAACATAGAACATAGAGGACATTTGGTTGTAGCCAGATGGTAATGGTAACACAGTAGATAGAGGACATTTGGTTGTACCCAGGTGGTAATGGTAACACAGTAGATAGAGGACATTTGGTTGAAGCCAGGTGGTAATGGTAACATAGTAGATAGAGGACATTTGGTTGTACCCAGGTGGTAATGTGAACATAGAACATAGAGGACATTTGGTTGAAGCCAGGTGGTAATGTAAACATAGTAGATAGAGGACATTTGGTTGTACCCAGGTGGTAATGTGAACATAGAACATAGAGGACATTTGGTTGAAGCCAGGTGGTAATGTGAACATAGAAAATAGAGGACATTTGGTTGAAGCCAGGTGGTAATGTAAACATAGTAGATAGAGGACATTTGGTTGAAGCCAGGTGGTAATGTAAACACAGTAGATAGAGGACATTTGGTTGTACCCAGGTGGTAATGTAAACATAGTAGATAGAGGACATTTGGTTGAAGCCAGGTGGTAATGTGAACATAGAAGATAGAGGACATTTGGTTGAAGCCAGGTGGTAATGTAAACACAGTAGATAGAGGACATTTGGTTGTACCCAGGTGGTAATGGTAACAAGTGGTTATGTGAACATAGAACATAGAGGACATTTGGTTAAGCCAGGTGGTAATGTAAACATAGTAGATAGAGGACATTTGGTTGAAGCCAGATGGTAATGTGAACATAGTAGATAGAGGACATTTGGTTGAAGCCAGGTGGTAATGGTAACACAGTAGATAGAGGACATTTGGTTGTACCCAGGTGGTAATGTGAACATAGTAGATAGAGGACATTTGGTTGAATCCAGGTGGTAATGGTAACACAGTAGATAGAGGACATTTGGTTGTACCCAGGTGGTAATGTGAACATAGTAGATAGAGGACATTTGGTTGAAACCAGCTGGTAATGGTAACACAGTAGATAGAGGGTTGAAGCATTTGGTTGAATCCCTTGGTGGTAATGTAATCATAGTAGATAGAGGACATTTGGTTGAAGAATCCAGGTGGTAATGGTAACACAGGTAATGTAAACATAGTAGATAGAGGACATTTGGTTGTACCCAGGTGGTAGGTGGTAATGTGAACATAGAAAATAGAGGACATTTGGATGAAGCCAGGTGGTAATGTAAACATAGTAGATAGAGGACATTTGGTTGTACCTGGGTGGTAATGTAAACATAGAAAATAGAGAGGACATTTGGTTGAAGCCAGGTGGTAATGTAAACATAGTAGATAGAGGACATTTAGTTGAATCCAGGTGGTAATGGTAAACACAGTAGATAGAGGACATTTGGTTGTACCCAGATGGTAATGTGAACATAGTAGATAGAGGACATTTGGTTGAAGCCAGGTGGTAATGTAAACACAGTAGATAGAGGACATTTGGTTGAATAATGTGAACATAGAAAATGGTAATGTAATCATAGTAGATAGAGGACATTTGGTTGAATCCAGGTGGTAATGGTAACACAGTAGATAGAGGACATTTGGTTGTACCCAGGTGGTAATGTGAACATAGAAAATAGAGGACATTTGGTTGAAGCCAGGTGGTAATGTAAACACAGTAGATAGAGGACATTTGGTTGTACCCAGGTGGTAATGTGAACATAGAAGATAGAGGACATTTGGTTGAAGCCAGGTGGTAATGGTAACACAGTAGATTGAGGACATTTGGTTGTACCCAGGTGGTAATGTGAACATAGTAGATAGAGGACATTTAGTTGAATCTCTATTGGTAATGTAAACATAGCACGTGGAGGACATGTTGAATCCCTTGTGGTGATGTAAACATAGTAGATAGAGGACATATGGTTGAATCTCTATTGGTAATGTAAACATAGATGGAGGACATCCTGTTGAATCCCTGGTGGTAAAGTAAACATAGTAGATAGAGGACATTATGTTCATTCACCGCAGAGAGTCTCAACAAAATATCTGTGTTAGGTTAAAGCTGTGAGTTGTGGTAAACCAGAACAGGCACTGTTGGCATTTATTATTATATTGATGCACGTATCGTTATGTCTTATCATCAGCTCCTTGATTCAACCCTCCATAAAAGTCTTAGTATGTGATTTTGACGCATCCCTCGCGATGCTTAAAAGGTCATAAACTCCCTTGATTCATGCTGCGTGATGCTTAAAACATATCATTATATGACACTTTACTTCACCCCTCGAAAACAGGTCCCTATCAAACACCACCCGGAAAGAACACACGGAGGGCGATAGAACACAACCTCACTAGTCATCAAGGTAATCTATTCGCCATCTCTCAGGACAAGCTAGTGAGCTTCAAGTGATCAGTACTTCTTAACCTTTAACAATCGTGCATGGGACATCATAATCACTGGGCCCCTTTAAATTGGGCACCATGTGAAGAGCGCTTAAATTCTCTGGCTTGAACGTTTTCGATAGCGAAAATGTAATAGCAAATATGTTTAATGTACACTTAATCGTTCAAACAAATAACTTCTTGAGGAAACGTTCTGAACCCGATTACAATTATCAAACTTTCACGAACAAACTTCTCTCTCTTGGAATCAAGGAAATTTGGGTCAGGACAAGTATTTAACAAGGTAATCAATTTTAGGGAGATTTTTCGGTCTGGTATTACGCTTGTTAAAGGTGGAAAAAGTTACTCCCCGCAATATTTACTTGCCAACAAATCTATTTCGAATTGTTTTTCGCAATAATGCACATTGAAGAAGGCTACTTTTTACGCACTGAGCAAACACGACGATCATTTTGGAATGATTTTTTGTTTTAATTTCCATCCCTTAATTTGTATTTCCTTAATGCCCTAAAGCATATTTATTTCATTAACACAATTGAAACCACACTTCATATGTGTGTGTGTCGGCACTGTCGTCGTATTGAATCACCTTAAGGCCCATAGTTGCCAGATATTCAACTCACATCTAGATATTGGGTGTTTTGTCCGGGGAGAAAGACGCCTCCAAACTCTCCCAGAATGGCTTCAAACTGTTTGTCCACACAACATTTCTGTGGTTCGGCAGCAGCAATGGTGACAAGGAAGGAAGCAAGAAGGCAAGGAAGAATCATGTTGGCCTGTGTTAGTGTACTCCACCAGGTCAACCGCTGATATGTGCCTTGTCACACAGATCACCCAGGTGAACATTCCCATGGAGATTTCACACAGTAACTAAAGATATGTTCACTGCAATGTATTTATAGACATCAGCTTGCAAAGGTCGACATAAGGTAATATTGCTATACCGTATACCAACACTGATGCTTCTACAGTTATTACCTTTAATGTATGCCTGTAATATATGCGCTCTATGTTCATAATCGTAAGACTACTTCAAGAATCCCTTGAAGCGTCAACAATTACTTATAATTAGGAGAGTTTTAATCCATAACACTAATTTTGTAATCAGAAGCATCAAATGTAGATGAATTAATATTGGATTCAGTTGATGGTCAACAAAAAGTAAGCTGTTTACGTGAGTTGTGTAAAATTACGGGAACTCCGGAAGATTCTTTTGTGTGGACATGATGCTATTTAAGCCATCCGATCATGTAAACAGTAAAACGCAAATGCACATACAGCTCTTTTTGGAGAAACAAAACAAGAAAGTGTTTCGTTTCGCCTTATGATTTAAGTTTACAAGATTAACATGTATTTTCACTGAAAATATATTTTAGCGAATTTCGACCTTTTTGTAGCTACTAAGAAATGAAGCCCATTACTCTGGTCGATATGTTCTATGTCATTTCATGAATGTGTAGGAAATAATATTATTTGTGATTTAAGTCCCTAACATTAAATATTTAAAGGCCCGAAATAAGTCTACATGATCAAGTATATGCCACGTTAGTGCTGTAGACCTTACCCTTGCCTGTGTCTGAGTCATGAGCAGGACATACCCGAGTTTGTTCACATTCATAGCCTGTTTGCAGTGAAAACGTACCGATGAATTTCGCTTTAAACAAAAAAGTAAATCAAATAAAGTGAAATTAAGATTGCGAATCCTCTTAATTCTACCTTGCCAATTGAATATTTAAATCTCAGAATTTTATTCATCTTAGGATAAAAGTTGTGTAACAAACGATCATAGATTATAATGCCAGGTAATGTTTATATGACATAAGGGTACCGTGCCACTGACTAGGTAGTTTGGAAAGGTACCAAATATGTATGGCATTACTGCTAAACAGACATTACGTTGCAGTATACTACTACTTCCATGGGCAATTCTCAGCTCCTCTTGCCAGGGTAGTTTTACCACGTCCGACTTTGTCATTGAATGACACTGCAGAACCGTTTATCGATTCTTACGACAAGCATGGGTTGTTGAAGAATTTTTTCATTGAAAATCTGATATTTCTTTTGGACAAGCATGCGATTGGACATCATGTCTGGAAGTAACAAAACCAACAATATAACCTGTCAGTTAACAACAATAGTTTTGCAGGCACTTCTGTTGCTTTATTATTTGAATACGAACATACTGATATTATTCCATAATAAATTATACATAATCGTCGACAACTACATCCCATGTTTCAGACACTACTGCTGCTGTATGTTAACAGTGACAGGTTTATATCCACGCTATAGTGCGGATCCTTACGGGCAGGTAACAAGGTGTGTGTGTGTATGAATTACAGTACAATGTGGCGTGGGAATAGTTTTATTTTCACAAATAAGCATCAGTCTCCGCGTGACAGAACTGCGTCAATGTAGCGAGCTCCTCGCGTGGTGTGATCCGCTGGCAGCTGGAAGGCGATATTGAGAATATTGATATTTTTGTGTGTGGTTGTCTGTTTGAAAACTAGGCATTTACAACGTAGGCCATTAAATACACTTTTAAGTTGTGTCCTCCTTTTTGTTGTATTTTAACTGACGTATTACGTTTAAAGGGATCGTGGTTGAAAATCAATAACTTACTACGACTTGAAAGAACTCTGTCATTGTATTATATGACGTTTGCTCCTTACAGTCATAGTCCTTACAGTAGAATACCATCCAAGTAAATGAACATTATGACGTAGTGAGATAATGAACTCTCTGACAACATAAACTCATATATTACACATCACCTGAGTGCCATCACTTGTTTGTTGGACACAATTAGCTGGAATGTCAAAGACAGTTGGACTGTGGATCCCCGGACGAAACCCCGTCACAATGAACACCACGTCATTGGAAGCTGTCGATATAGAATATCACCTACATCTAGGTACGGTTAGTGTTTTCTCCCACACATATGGTATGCACAACATAACAACGATAGAAGATAATGTTCACAAATTCGATCCAGTCATAGGAATGAAAACTTAGTTTCAGGGATAAGAACACTACTGTCAATGTTAAGAGCATCAGAGGGTTGGTTTCAGAAGTATGTTTTCCTGTTAACGTTAATGTTGCATTAGTAGTAGTTGTGGTAGACCTGGGGATAGTACATATGGTGAAAATACATATTGAGCCATTTCGATAATAGACGTGTCTCTCAGTTGGTTCATTTTGTTTATATTAACCATGTTTCTGTGTGAGTAACAAAACTGTATGTGAGGAAAATAGCCATTTCAAGTCATATGAATATGTCCAATGACACTCATTCTGTTTACAGTATTCATTGTTTAGACATTGTGATTATGTAAGTATTTCAACTGAACGTACCTGAATAAAGGTTGCCAATGTTGAGCCACGAAAATATAGCCATTGAATTGTATCAAGCACATCGGATTACCTTGTTATCACGCAATGTATAAATAATTCATTATGGCAAGTAAAAGTATCACCGTGTAAAAACGTAAGCAGACATTGCGAATGCTCGTACCGTCATGTCCCAGAGTGGAGAAAGTTGCTTGTACCAATGGTACACAGTTGGATGCTGCTACTGAAGACTTGATGGTGATGTTGGCGGAGGGGCTGTGATATTGCCAGTTGTTGGCACTAACACTGTTGACGCCGGACCCAAAGGTAGACCTTCCAAGAAATTTGGCGTTGTCTATGAAAAACAAAATATTCAAAATCCTTTACGTATAATTGATAATATTTGAGTTTTTGAAAACATTTAAATATTTCAATTGTGATTGCTTTTGAATGAGCCTTATACAAATAATTTGTAGAGATAATTATTATCTGTGAGGATACGACAAAAGAAACCTTTGTTTCGTGTCATGTAACAACAGTAAACGGCTTCACAAATGCCACTTATTATTGTTTGCCATTGTCTTATCTACATACAAGGTTGTGGAAGTTAATCTGTGTGACCTCTGTGTGGATGTACAGGTATACAGATATTGGAGCAGTAAACAAACATGATGGGTTCACATAGAATACATACCAGGGATGCACTGTGTAGATGTACAGGTATACAGATATTGGAGCAGTAAACAAACATGATGGGTACACATAGAATACATACCAGGGATGCACTGTGTGGATGTACAGGTATACAGATATTAGAGCAGTAAACAGACAATGATGGGTACACATAGAATACACACCAGGGATGCACTGCTCGGTCATTATTCGTGAACCTTTCACATACGTGCATTTGTTGTCTTTAATCACATAGCGGAGACCCTAAAAAGAACATGTAAAATATATTTTTCTATTGAACTAAACTTGGACGTGTTTGAATTATACCATATTCTCATGTAGGCTGAATACATTTGGTTTTAAATAAACATATTGACTTTATTTTACTGGGCAATAACGTACCGCTGGAATAAGTATGTTTGAATCTTGATTGCTAGCTCAAAATTAGGTACAAAATTGAAAAATTAAAAACTAGTAATTGTTTAAATACGAAGTCCAGTGTTTTGCATTACTTGACATTAATTGTTGTTCAATTAAATTCAAATCAATTAAATTGTGTTAAATTTCAAATTAGACTGCAACATCCGTACGGAAATGAAGTCATGCACAATTCGGGAACGAACGGTCCTGCCCTGGGCCCCCCGCTGAATCACCTCGTACACCACCGTCCTGTTGTAGAAGTCGTAATGTAGAATGTTGTCCACCTACAAGGTACACCAGATACATTGTGTGCAAACATTAGCAGGACCAGTAAGAGAAAACTGGATACATGGGTCCAGGAATAGCCTTTTTTGTTTCTTCGACCATTGAAAGCTTTCTTATCTGTATTTAATTGTTATTTTGAAATTTGTAGTGTTGAACGAAGGAAGTAAATGTAGCTAACAAAAGTAGCTCAGAACTCTGGGAGTTTCTTTTATAGCTCTGTTTCCGGGACCCCTGAAAGTTCCTTGTTCCTTTATGATGGGTCGCTGCGCGTATTACAACCAGCCTATTTAGCCTAAAGCCTTTGCACATATATGACGCACTCCTACACACTGGTGTCACAAACTACATTCGTGAAAGACGACTACGCCGTTTGACGTGGTTGAATATTCAAAATAGCTTATTTAAATATCTTTTAACACCGTTAATTATTTACTACTTCGGCCCCATACCTTGCTGATCTTAGTATTACCGTATTACCGACATAGACAGACAGTCCTGTAATGGCGTATTTATCTAATAACACACCAGCATGTATACATCAACATTATTTAACACTACAGTAAATTCTGAATAAATCCTGTGCTAGGCATGCCTCTGGGGTGTTATATTGCACGATATCACATGGTTACCGTTAAATCTTATTTTCTGGACGGTAAATATCCATTGGAAGTGTTTTCCTGGCTACCACAAACATCAGTCAACTGTGACAAAACTGGTTGTTTCTTGTAATATCACCACGTACATCACAGGTCCACGTGGCAGGTTCCTCTACTTCAATCAGTTCCAAAATACAATGCATGTGCATAAATGTGTTGAGATAATTAAATCTTATAATCATAAGGATGTATATACATGTATGTCACTAAATATAACTGTCCCCAAGCACGACAGATAGACAGACAGTAAAACAATGAAGCTAACGATGAGATAAGCGCCATCTCAATGATGGCCCGACAGTATGTCGGGCCAGAACAGCTATGTTTGAAGATGAATGTAAAATTGTTGTCCTCAAGTGTCAGGCTTGAAACACACAGGGCATTCAATGTATCAGTTGGTTCTTGATTAAATTATCGGTATTCAAATTTTATAGTTCTAGTGCAACTTTGAACTAGATAGTAAGCATTAAAGTCAGTGATATCCCGGCGTAACATACATCCATGAGAGAAGGAACCTGGTGCCCGCTGTGGTTGTACAAGGCGCCCCCAATTTCAGCCAACCTGGCCTCGAACTGACGATCTGAGCAGCACTTAGTGGGATCCGCGCCACTCACTTCACCTCCAGTAACAGCCAGAAGAACAACAGCAGTGAAAAACGACATCATCATGTTGATATGTGGTTATATGTGACTCTTGATACAGTCACACATGGTGTCTGCTACACAGCCTGCAATTGCAGTCAGATTGTACAGATAACCTCCCACAGCTAGCTGGAGCACTTGGTCACACAAGCAAGCGATTCTATTTATAAAAAGATATGACGAAGTAAGTCATGTCTGTGTGACAGAATCCAGCCAGAAGTACTATCGGGATACCATGGTTTTAGAAGGAAGTTTTATTCACATTCAAAACAGCGACATATAACTGCCAGTGCAGCATTTCATTGTCCTTTCACGGGAGCTTATTTGTAGGAATTCTGCTCGGATTGGTAATATCAAACGAATAGAATTGGGAAAAGAGGTTTAAATTAATAAACTTCAGGTGCATCAATATCGTCAAATAACGGTCAAATAATTCTTTGATAGGCATTCTAGAAGTTGGTGAGTCAAATATGAAACATACAACTTTATGGATGACAACTTCTTATAGGCTAAATAGGCTATCCATTCCCCATCATTTACCACCCCGGGCCAGAGACCGCCTCGTTTGTGTCATATTCATGAATCTGCGCATTATGATTCAGAGAGACAACAGTCTCAAGACCGCATGACGAAAGGTATGATTTCATGTTCCCGTTCGTCAGTTTTCCCTTTGTCACCAGTAATGTCCCAGTGAACTGCAGACATAATCATTAAACAACTTACTGGTGATGAGAAACCAGGGATAATAACCAGGGTTTGAAACCCATGACCATAGAGATCTGGTGACCCAACTCCACACAGCGCCTTCTCTACAGCCTCAGACAACGAGAGGAGAGAAACAATGTGGGGAGTGTGTACTACTTGATTGATACCAGTTTTCTACTTCTAGCTGCTAGTCTGTGTGACTAGCATGATATAGGTGACAGAGTTGAATGGCACGTTCTACCGTATGTATTGTTAAACCAATGACCTTTAGTGGAACACTTTTTTGGGATAGACAGCTTCTTTGTTGCAGTAGTTGCAACTTTTTTTGGATAGACAGCTTCTTTGTTGCAACTACTGCAACAAAGAAATTGTCTATCCATAAAAAGAGTCCCACTTCATCATACCAGCTTCTAAATGCCACATAAGGAAACAATGACCTCTAAATTTCAATGGAAACATAATTGTGTCAGTTGTTTAATATCTCATTGCACCCACCAAGACTAAACTTGCATTATTTACGGATATGTGACAAGATCATATTTATTGCATGAAAAGGATATGAGAATTTAACTCTCGGAAATTGGGTTTACGGGAAACATTACATATTCTGGAACACAGTATCCCTTTTTTTCAATATCCAAGACACGCACATCTCACACACACACTTACATCCCGGATATCACATGGTCGATTCTTTGCGGTCAGTAGTTTGAATCGGCATTTCTATATAAATAAGGAGAGATAGAGGTAAATGTTTTATTTTCACACATTAAGATACCCAGCCGTCCATAGCCATGATAGCACGTTGAATGTGAGGTGGATGGTCCTGCAAAAGAACATGAAACTGGCATGAAAGCATGTAACATAACCATTCACCTCCAAACACCGGACATGAAGATAGCCTTAAGATCAGCAAGGCCTAAAACATATTTCGCTGTAGACCACGTTTACAGATATGATCTATTATAGAATATATACGATACAATGTTTCATTCATGTTGTCACTATGAAAGTTTGACGTCCTTGGCATAGTGTTATTCGTGTGGTATGAACTAACGGTATTGTTGCATGTACCTCATTTCTGACAGTGTCGGCGGCCCCGGTACACAGGGAAGGCAAAACAAACAGGTCCGGTGTTCTGATGCCTGGCGAGAAATTATTGAAGACGAACACAAGCTCGGATGGGGCTGCAACATAGTCGAAACATTCGTACTTACAGTCAGCTTCATGGAAGATTGTACAATAGTACATATATACATATATGTTTTGAAGTTTACTTACTGAGTGCACATAACTGATTCAAACATTCAAGTATTGTCATGCTCCAAAGATCACGTTGATGTAGGGAACGACGTGACGTTGAACTGGTCTTCTGGCAAAAAGTCTGGCTTTCTATAGCCAATTGCGCACTCTTAGGTCGGAGATTCGGAGCAGTCCAGGGATTTGGATTGTTGATGCGGCCGTGGTGTTTGAACGAAAATGTCTCACCCGGATGTAGCGATCTTGGGCGGCGGTGGTAACTCCAAGTCGACCTGACCTGGGTCTGTCATTAACACTCCCAGTATTTTTGTATCGGGTCCTTAGGTTTGAGATGGTCTATCTGGACACGCTACACGCCTTGCCACATCATGCTGTGATGTCCGTTTTAGCGATTCACTACAGACGTGAGTGTAACGTTACGTTTTTGTTAAACGTTTCTTTTTTCAAACGTTTTGTCGTCGGCAACCATTCCCCTACATGCTGGGATTCATGGATTGGTTTGTGTCAAATATTTTCCTAAAATTCAAATTTGTCCTATGTCAAGTTTCTTTTTTGGGGGAAGAGTATATTTATCCATCATTATTTCATTCATCCAAATTTCCCATAGATACGAAAAATATATAATAATTACATGATTAATAAATCGCATACGAAACTTGAAATATATGACGGTCAGTCAGTTTATAACATCATCGTGAGCAGCCCACTGCTGGGATCACCTCACCATTGTTGACGATTCCAAAGACGGCCTCCAATACTGGGACACACCCCACCGATGTTACAACCAGCCTGAGGTCGTTGCTGGTGTCCGGCTCTTGGAACTGCCAGTTGTTGAAGGTGATCTTGTTCACGCCGTAGCCGATGTAGCTGCTTCCCACGAAGGTGGCGTTATCTGTTGTGGATGAATGATAAATAAGAATTGTGTACAAGAACACAGTAGCCCTCGTGTTTATCCTTCAGATTAATGACAGAAGTTTATTGTAGGCAGGGGCGGAGTTCCGATAAGTTATTTTTGGTTGAGTTCCATCTGTAAGCTCGGTGTGTTCTTACAAAAGTGTTTTATGACATATTGTAACTTGCGTCATGTCCATAACGATAATCAAACCAGATTATGTATCCTCGTAACGCCAGTGCTTGGTACCCAATAATAGGTAATTATACACGGTCTTAGTCTGCGGGTGTCTGTTTATACTGGGGGCGGTGGGGTAGCCTAATGATTAAAGCGTTCGCTCGTCACGCTGATCATAAAGACCCGGGTTAGATTCCCCACTTCTGGTGTCACCCGCCATGAAATTGCTGGAATACCAAAACGGCGTAAAACCACACTCACTCACTCAATGTTTATACTGATGTTTGTACTGCTATTTCGTACTGACGGTTACGAACGTCATCCAGAGCAGAAAAAACGGAGAAGCCCCGGTCTGTAGTCACCTGGAATACAGGGCTCCCTGAACCCACGGCGAATCGTTGACGTTGTGCACATTCCTGATCCGAACACATGTTGTATACCCTGGAGAGTACAACATAGGCTATATTACTCCACCTGTCAACACACAGCATAATGTTGTACTGAACACAGGATGGTAATATAACACACACAAACAAACAAAACACACACGCACACGCAAACGCACACGCACACGCAAACGCATATTGCACACTGACCGCGACTTTTAACATTATCGCACTTCCCCTCACACGACATATATATTTGTATGAAATCAGTGATTACAATTGACGTTTGTTGAATAATCAAGAAACAGAAGTTTCCGACAGCAAATCAGGGCATGTTGTATGTTGCTGTAATTATGAACACACAAGTGTGTAGTGTATTCCCAGGGTTTGTCTTCCATTGCCCTGTTGCTGTAATCCTTAACACAGGCGCCTGTGTCAGTCCTGGACTGACTGTGTGTGGTTGTACAGTCACCGTTTCACCATTCCCCTCCACTACAGGTTACATCAAACCAAATGTGTTCCCATAGACCTCTATAGTAACTTTATATATTATTTTTAATCATCCAGGCTGTAAACAGCCATTCCATGTACACATGGTTACAGTCTGGTCTTAGAATAAAAAACAACAATTAAAACACAAATTCCGGCTAACTTAGTCTGCCAATTTTCCGAGCACAGGAAGCTGAATACATCAACCCCAGTTCCGCACCAAATGTCACCTACTTGAAAATATCTATTAACACATTAAGCATAAGTCATGGTGATAAAAATGACTGCATTAGATACTTAACATTGTGGTCAGTTTTAATTACTGGATGGATGTGCTTTAAAAAACATAAAAAATCTTACACCATTTCATCCAATCACAGCTGTCAGTTGTCTCTATCTGGCCAGATGTTTACACGGGCAACTGGCTCAGCGAGCAAGTGATTCTGGAAGGATCTCTCTGTTACTTACCGTGTTGTAATCCTGAATGATCCTGGTGTAGGTGGTGGTATTGTCGGGGTTGTGGGTGTTCACTTCCATCACAATGGTTCGGTTGTAGTAGTCGTAGTGCATGACGTTGTCAGACTGCAAGGGGAAATATAGGCATACACCAGTAAACAGTAAGATGGTTTATAGTTTATCTCAATTATCACTGTTAACGTGCATAGTCATGTGTAGCATTAACGTATGAATCAACGAGTTATCACGACTTTTGTTGCTCTAATTGTAAAATATAACTGGGAATACCGTATGCTTTCCTGTGAATGTTGCGTGAAATGATCTCACAGTTCCTCATTATGCGTGTCACTGTCACTATCACTGTCCATAAAAAGTCGGCATCACTCTTGGATGATTATCACAGCAGTCACTCACGTCAAGTAGTGCTGGCACCTCCACACCATAGGACGTATAGATGGCTCCGCCAGTCTCCCCCAACTTGGCCTCGAACTGACGAGATATGCAGCATGTTTTCGGAGGAGGGTCCGTCTGTCCCCCAACGGCAGAAACAAGACACAGGATGAACACCAGCATGGTCAGTCTCTTACGCCTGACTATCTCGGAGTACCTTATCTCTCCGGTGAGAGCTGGCCATCTGGTGACTTCCCTGGTGTCCAACAGATAAGACGCGTGAACCGCTCTACCTTGTCACAGTGTCACAGCAGATACCATGAAAATCAAGTCATCTGTGATCTGGATTATAAGAGCAATCGTTAGAGGAGACCAGGCAAATCATTATAATATGTAAAAGGAGGCCCCAAATCCCCAACCCTGCCAAGTATAAACTATAGTAAAACATCAGATCTTATTCATCACAGATGTGTTTACTGTCTTTGTATTCATGATGTTGCCCTTCAATATTATTCCCAAATATGGATTGTACAGGGTTCACTGGCTTTAAACCATCGCGAGTATCCTCCCTTGACGCACTGACGCCACTTAATCTAGCGGTTTCAACAGCATAATCTGGGCCCCGTTTCGCAAACCTAAGATCTATACGGTCCCACCAACTCTGCTAGAGGGCATGGATTCCGATAGTGTTGACGGCTTCCTCCTGGTTGTGTAAAATGTTATCACAAAAGACATTTTGTCAACACACACACACACACTCTCTCTCTCTCTCTCACTCACACACTCTCTCTCTCTCTCTCACACACACACACACACACACACAATCCCATGAAATCATCATGTGTCATTTCCTTGTCAGCAGGCAGAGATCAACTCAAAAATCGGTACTCAAGGAAATAGATTGAGATATAAGTAAATAGCCTCACAACATCAGTGAATTCTGAATACAATATATTCCAAAGTGAGTGAGGTAATTGTTTCAGCGACGTATGTAGGTTGTTACGATGACTGGTATGGTCATTAAGGTAGTTCTGATAAAAAGTGAACTTACCCTTTTCAGCTAATACAAAAGTAGCTGAACTTAACATGCAGATGTACAGACATTGTGCGTTCCTTGGCCACTCCTTGGCCTCGGACAGTAAGGAGGACTGGTTTGACTGGCAGGTCGGATGTCAGATCGAGTCTCAGAACGAATATCAGATCGAAACCATCCTTCATTAATGGTCCAAAAGCCGATTCCCTTCCACTGATTCACCAACCTGAACAGACAGGAGAGATCAGTGATGTCGTGTTTCATATTCAGATTTAAGCATGAAGTATCCACAAGATTGTCTGACAAGAAGGAATGCTTCCTGCTTCCAATACTCGACTGTCGTTACTCCTGCAGCTCCACCTTCTATGTGAAACGTCGTGACCCTTCGCAATAAAAAAGTTGACATCCATAAAATTCTTGCCTTGCGGTTTGATGATGCTCATATTGATATCGTTACTCTACATTAGTCTTATGAGCTCATTATGGAAATCTGGATTTCAAAATAAAGTATCAATGTGTGTATATTGTTTGTCTTCAATTTATTTTGTTCATATATTAAACAACATCTAGATGTGAAAATGTTACGACAGGAATAGTGACTGGATAAGAACTTATTTGTTATGACAAACATGAGGTTTTGAAATAAATTCCTTTTGATACTCAGAAGTTTCTTTCTGTCATAACAAAGAAGTTGTTATCCAGTAATCTGTTATTCCTTGAATTGCCTTGAAGGTAGATCCTCCAAACGTCCAACTAAAAGGGATAAAACAGACACTAATTCGTGGTGCAACATTATAAATGAAGCAAATAAACTTTATTCACGAAACAGTAACCATAAGGAAATGTTGAATAACGTGGTCTTATAATCAGTATGTAAACGCATATGATAGGGGAACTAAATAAAAACTTTAGATTTAAAGCGTATAGGATATGGCAATCTCAATGCCAAGAAATCAGTTACTGTTTTAACTCAGTTTCGCTTCCACATGCTGGGAACGGAGGTGTGTTCAGTGGCTCATCGCTAATGCGATGGTTTAGGCTTGATACCCCGGCACTAGCTCTGGCTGAGCTAGATCTGTCTCCAGGCTGCAGAGTGTCAGCATCCAGGTCCAAGCTCAAGTCAATTAGACGTAGAGACGATGGCGAGCTATTGTTGGAGGTAACGGGAGGAGCTGCTCATGGACGCGGTTGAGATGAGCATGACGTGTTGAACTGAAGAAACTCTTGCCGCATCCAGCGTGGATCCATTGATCCCCACAGGGGTGGGCCACTGTGTGTGTGTGCGTGCGTGCGTGCGTGCGTGCGTGCGTGCGTGCGTGTGTGTGTGTGTGTTTTACAGTCAAGCGACAGCATGGGTCAACAAGGTATTTCAAGGTAAATCTAAGATGCTCCGCTTACAGATCAAAGGCCCGTCAGAACTCTATCAGATAATGTATACTTTTTGCATTACGTCACACTGTATTGAGTCACCCGACTATTCTAGTCTGCCCCCTTAATCAAACGTACCCTTGATAACCGACTTGGCGATGTATGTCAGTTGTCATTGCCTAGTGCAGTCTTCTACAGTACAACTGACTCCGTAGCACCCCGTTCCTTGGTTTCAGTGCTTCAGTTGGCTAACGTCACTGGAGGAAATAAATACGTTTACCAAAGCATGTCTCAGCCTCACATTGTACCTTACGGGGGTCCAGCACAAACGTACACATTGTACATTACGGGAGTCCAACACAAACGTACACATTGTACATTACGGGAGTCCAACACAAACGTACACATTGTACCTTACGGCAGTCCAACACAAACGTACACATTGTACCATACGGGAGTCCAGCACAAACGTACACATTGCACATTACGGGAGTCCAACACACACTTACACATTGTACCTTACGGGAGTCCAGCACAAACGTACACATTGCACATTACGGGAGTCCAACACACACTTACACATTGTACATTACGGGAGTCCAGCACAAACGTACACATTGTACATTACGGGAGTCCAACACAAACGTACACATTGTACATTACGGGAGTCCAACACACACGTACACATTGCACATTACGGAAGTCCAGCACAAACGTACACATTGTACCTTACGGGAGACCAGCACAAACGTACACATTGCACATTACGGGAGTCCAGCACAAACGTACACATTTAACCTTACGGAAGTCCAGCACAAACGTACACATTGCACCTTACGGGAGTCCAGCACAAACGTACACATTGTACCTCACGGGAGTCCAGCACAAACGTACACATTGCACATTACGGGAGTCCAGCACAAACGTACACATTTAACCTTACGGGAGTCCAGCACAAACGTACACATTGTACCTCACGGGAGTCCAGCACAAACGTTTGTACCTCACGGGAGTCCAGCACAAACGTACACATTGCACATTACGGGAGTCCAGCACAAACGTACACATTTAACCTTACGGGAGTCCAGCACAAACGTACACATTGAACCTTACGGGAGTCCAGCACAAACGTACACATTGAACCTTACGGGAGTCCAGCACAAACGTACACATTGCACATTACGGGAGTCCAGCAAAAACGTACACATTGAACCTTACGGGAGTCCAGCACAAACGTACACATTGAACCTTACGGGAGTCCAGCACAAACGTACACATTGTACCTTACGGGTGTCCTACACAAACGTACACATTGTACCTTACGGGAGTCCAGCACAAACGTACACATTGTACCTTACGGGTGTCCTACACAAACGTACACATTGTACCTTACGGGCGTCTAGCACAAACGTACATATTGTAGCCTACGGGAGTCCTACACAAACGTACACAATGTATCTTATGGGAGACCAACACAGGATTACACATTGTACCTTACGATTTCATAAACATCTCATTCAACAGCAAATATACATCTGAATGATGAACTATATTCCGTTGTAATTCATCATAAATAAGAAGCATGCTTCAGTCTTAAACATACACATATTCACCAAACTAGCAATATATTCATGAAATTGTGTTCATGAACAATTTGAAAAGTATGTCATGGTGTCCTACTGATCAAGCTTTGCCTTCTTCCACAGTACATCATATGGCCAGCTTCTGAAATGAGTTGGGTCGAGTTTCTTGCCTCCAATGATAGGCTCATATGCAGAATATTTCCAGCTTGATAATAACTCTACCAGGTTTTCACCACTGATATCTGTTTTCATGAGTTGCCATTCCATTAGAATTACTGAAACTTCGATCTCCTTGAAAAAACTGCCAGCACCATGTAGAACGTAATATTCAAATTCTTGTATGTCCATTTTCAAAACTGCTTTCTTGAATGGAAGGTATGGTAAAATATCATCTAAAGTTATAGTGTAAGAGTCAGATGGTTCATCGCAAGGTGATGTGAACGACGATGTAGACGACGCTACAACACTTGTCCCTCCCAGATTGTCTGGAATACGCTTGAAATTCACGAGAGAATGGTTTGCACCTAGAGGATTGAATATAATTGTCATCCTGTCCGTAAATCCACCCTTCTGGATAGACTTACAAAGTCTTTGGACATTCTCTATGAGAGGGTCCACAGATACCACCTTCCTCCCAAACACGGCCACAGAAAGGGAGAAGGCACCAACATGAGACCCTAAGTCCATGAAGCCAAGATCTGGGTCCTTTTGCAGTTCTGACAAAACAAGTTTGATGTTGTTAGATTCCCATACTCCATTATGTTTTATTTCCTTGGACACCCACTTGTCAACCGCTACATCGTGTATGTGGATTGGCGTCAATCCTCGTGGTGTGTTCAGGGGGACACAATCAACATGCACTGTCTACGTGCAAAAATCATGAAGTTGCTGCATGTGACTTCCATTGAATCTATACACTTTAGTTTTACCAAGACTGGGACGAACTGGTGTATGCATGAACCTTTGATATGCCTCCGAGCGCATAAACTCAGTGGTCCCCACCCTGTGGGGTGAAAAGAAGGGTAGGATGACGTGCTCGACGATAAACATAGTGAGGGCACCAACAATCACCAGATAAAAGTGACGCGAGGGTGGCATTATGGTGTCAGGTGTCAGGTTGATATCTTCTGATGTTTCGAGGGCCAATCTGAAACTTAGATAAAGTCATTGACAGTTAATTCTAAGGCATTAGATGTTGCACATATATAGTTTGAAAGATATTTTCGGTTGAAGTCGAGCAAAGTTCGAGCTGTATGACATCGGCCTGTAAGTAATGGAACCTAGCAGCATGCAGCTTGTTGTTGATCTCATGACGTACCGTCCACGTCATCGGCTACAACTGCAGGCAATCAACGACGTCGCTGGAGTGGCTGGAGGCCATTATATTTAGTCTTACACGGGAAACGGGAAATCAATCACCTATATCGTTGAACTATATTTGATATGACTTACTTTAGTTCAGTTCCACATTCAGCTTTTTATGTTATATATTTACCATAATCAGTTAAACTAACATTACAATGGAAATCTAATAACCCTATTAGATAAAGCTGTAATTAGTCAACCTTGAGTTTAATATATAGATGTAATTGATCCAGCATTGGCAGGAATAAGCAATTAGTACATCATTATCATGAACATGCTATAAACCCAGCATTAGTTAGATGAAGATGAATTCTTATGGGGCAGTGTAACTTGAAAGTATATTGCTTATGCGTGTGCTTGTCGTAAGAGGCGACTAACGGGGTCGGATCGGTATATCGATGCTCATGCTGTTGATCACTGGATTGTGAGGTCCAGATTCGATATTTACGGAATGCCGTAATATAGCTGGAATATTGCTGAGTGCGGCTTTAAACAACAAACAAAGAACATTAAGTGTACCAAACTGATGTTGCAGTCTAGAACAACAGACTACACCTGCTATAGGCTATTTACATGTACGAGTATATAGAGGGAATCTATTCAGTCAATATATCACGTCACTGAGGTGAATTTAAGGATGAGTAAATCCCACATGATACATGTTGACATGTTTCCAAGTGGCAATACCCATCCGGCAAAGGTAAACCAACGAAACAAATCTAATGCTGACGCCATTGGGCAGCCTGGCGTGTCAACCTGACCCCGGCTCGGACTGTACAAAGACGGCCTTCACTACTGGGCGACAACGCCCACTGTCACTTTTACTGCACGAAAACGTTATTAAGCAGTCTCGAGACACGAAAATCGTCGCTACATAGGCGAAATGTAAACAATAACACCCCCCATTTCACCGACATGTGCGTTGATGTATCGTGTCAGCTCGCTGTTGTCACGAAATAGTACACATAAAACTTGCCACTGAACGACACATTAATTAAATATCGTCAGCATTTTTCTATTTTGGGGTGAGGTATATTTCGAGTATCATAGCCATGTGATTTTCCCTATCATATATACTACCCATCAAAAGTTTAGACTCACTTTAAACACTCACTATGTTATGTATATATATTTGTGGAAACCAACTGCAAACCTTATGCAGATGAACTACACGAGGATCATGCATCAAATTTCTGAAATGCATGTGCAAATATCGTGCATGTGAACTGCTGTGTTTCGGTGTAAAGAATTGTTAAGAATTCGCCAATTTTCACTGAGTTTCATCATTTATTGAACTCATGACAATATTCTTTTCGACGTTACGAATTGTGTTACAATGCATCAGTTCATGTTTAGACAGTACCTTTAGACATTAAGGAATACTTTGCAAACTCTAGTTTAGAACAGTTGACTAAAGTAAGTGGCTACATTTACACTAGTGAGTGTAAACTTTTGATGGGTAGTATAGATAACTTAGTCTGTAGTGTGATTTGTAATCAACTTCTCGGTAGTGTCGAAACTGCATTCGGGGGTCAGTAAACGCCTTAACAGTTACGTAATCGTATTGCCGCTCCATGTTGCGGGATGAACGCCCGGATTTCCGGGTCAGTGGAGGGCTGCTAAGTCAAGGAGTGTAGGGTCGGACGACCGTGACTCCCAACTGTCTACATCACATTCATGATGTACATTCTTACAATGATTAACACAACACCAGGTTCTATACTCACATTGGTTTACTTTGTTTCAGTCCATCTCTGTTGCTTGGAAACTGAGGGACGGAGACTGGGAAGCCCGCACCACTCTACTCTTGTTAAAGGTATTTGTTTAAACGGTTAAACCTGTTAAACCTCACATGTCCAAATACATCGTTTTGATTTGTTAAAAGTGTATCTGACCATGAACTCATGTGATGTCTAATCGGAAAAATACCGGCCAACACTAAACGGTGAATCATCATCCATTTACAACTGCCCTTGACCTTTTTAACGTAAGCTAAAATCTGTTCTGTGTTTTATGACACACTCCCCACTTTCAACACCGACATGCGCGTTGATGTATCACGCCAGGTTGCTATTGTCACGAAATGTACACATAAAACTTGCAACTGAACGACCACAGAGAGAGTATCATAGCCGTGTGATTTTCGATATCCTTTAGATAACATGGCCAGTGGTGTGATTATCAACTTTGTTCTTGACTGTTTTAACGTAAGCTTAATCTGTTCTGTCTTTTTTGACGAATGCATTCGAATTCATTGGCAATGAACTAGGCAAACACACATATCTCTATCGATAAACAAACAAAAAACATGAACTGCGCCATCTGTTGTAGACTCGACTATAGGTGTCTGCTCATTGAGGACACATTCCAACACCCGCAATACTTTATTTACATTTACGAGTATATAGATTTTGTGAGATGGAATCTATTCAGTCAATATATGCAATAACATGTGTTCAAAAGTGGCGTTGAAATGAGTCAAGTCTTATTGCTGTGACAGAGTTTGAGTACTGCTTGTATAAATCATGATTTGTTAGTATTGCGGAGGCATAAGGTTAAACATAAACGCACAACAATGCGACAACCCAAATTTTCTAACAGGTAGAACTTGTTGGCTAACTAAACACGTAAACCTGAGGTGAAACAATAACAGCTTATAGTTACTTACTTTGTGTGGTATTGTGAAAACGAGAATGGTCCAAAGCAACAGATCCCGCCTGATGATATGTGTGGGGAATGAAAGCCTGCAACACGCGTGTAAATATCTGGGTACTGAAAGACACTGAAGAGTGTGGCAATACCGACAAGCTGTGACCTGATACAGAAATAGCTAACAGTAACAAGTAAATATATGTTGTTCAGAAAGCTAGTGATAATCATGTAAAACCATTAATTGTCTCGAAATTAATCCTTTTTGATAAATAATCGACCCCATAAAGAAATGTAAAAATAACACAAAGTGTTCCGATTAGTGTTTATCACCTTTCATCAAAAAGCATGTGCTGTTTTATCAATGAAAAAAGCATAATATCAATTTCCATGAATTGGTCTTATGTCACAGAAACTTTGTGATTACGAAATTGATGTAACGGAAAATTCATTAATTGTCACAGATAATTCCCAATCACAAAATGGAGTAGACGAGGTAAGATTCGTCCAATCTATTCGTCTAATCTATTGGACGTATCTAGACGTGTCACGTTCAAGACAATTGGACTTATCTAGACGTGTCACTTTCAAGACGATTGGACTTATCTAGACGTGTCACGTCTAAGACCATTGGACTTATCTAGACGTGTCACTTTCAAGACGAGTGGACTTACCTAGACGTTTCACGTTCAAGACTATTAGACTTATCTATACGTGTCACGTTCAAGACTACTGGACTTATCTAGACGTGTCACGTTCAAGACTACTGGACTTATCTAGACGTGTTACGTTCAAGACGATTGGACTTATCTAGACGTGTCACATCCAAGACTATTGGACTTATCTAGACGTGTCACGTTAAAGACTATTAGACTTATCTAGACATGTCACGTTCAAGACTATTAGACTTATCTAGACGTGTCACGTTCTCGAAAGACTATCAAACTTATCTAGACGTGTTACGTTCAAGACGATTGGACTTATCTAGACGTATCACGCTCAAGACTACTGGACTTATCTAGACGTGTCACGTCCAAGACTACTGGACTTATCTAGACGTGCCACGTTCAAGACGAGGACTTATCTAGACGTGTCGCGTCCAAGACAATTGGACTTATCTAGACGTGTTATGTTCAAGACGATTGGACTTTATCTAGACGTATCACGTTCAAGACTATTGAACTTATCTTGACGTGTCACTTTCAAGACGAGTGGACTTATCTAGACGTGTCGCGTCCAAGACAATTGGACTTATCTAGACGTGTCACTTTCAAGACGAGTGGACTTATCTAGACGTATCACGTTCAAGACTATTAGACTTATCTAGACGTGTTATGTTCAAGACGATTGAACTTTATCTAGACGTATCACGTTCAAGACTATTGGACTTATCTAGACGTGTCACTTTCAAGACGAGTGGACTTATCTAGACGTGTCGCGTCCAAGGCAATTGGACTTATCTAGACGTGTCACTTCCAGGACGAGTGGACATATCTAGACGTGTCACGTTCAAGACTACTGGACTTATCTAGACGTGCCACGTTCAAGACGAGTGGACTTATCTAGACGTATCTCGTCCAAGACCACTGGACTTGTCTAGACGTATCACGTTCAAGACGATTGGACTTTTTTAGACGTGTCACGTTCAAGACGATTGGGTTTAGCTAGACGTGTCACGTTCTCGAAAGACGATTGGACTTATCTAGACGTGTTTCGTTCAAGACTATTGGACTTATCTAGACGTGTTACGTTCAAGACTATTTGACTTATCTAGACTAGTACGTTCAAGACTACTGGACTTATCTAGACGTGTTACGTTTAAGACTATTAGACTTATCTAGACGTGTTACGTTCAAGACGAGTGGACTTATCTAGACGTGTCGCGTCCAAGACAATTGGACTTATCTAGACGTGTCACTTTCAAGACGAGTGGACTTAACTAGACGTGTCACGTTCAAGACTACTGGACTTATCTAGACGTGCCACGTTCAAGACGAGTGGACTTATCTAGACGTATCACGTTCAAGACTATTGGACTTATCTAGACGTGTTACGTCCAAGACTATTCGACTTATCTAGACTAGTACGTTCAAGACTACTGGACTTATCTAGACGTGTTACCTTCAAGACTATTAGACTTATCTAGACGTGCTACTTTCAAGACTATTGGACTTATCTAGACGTGTCACGTTCAAGACGATTGGATTTATCTAGACGTGTCACGTTCAAGACTATTCGACTTATCTAGACGTGCTACGTTCAAGACTATTAGACTTATCTACACGTGTCACGTTCAAGGCGATTGGGTTGATCTAGACGTGTCACGTTCAAGACGGTTGGGTTTATCTAGACGTGTCACGTTCAAGACGATTGGACTTATCTAGACGTGTCACGTTCAAGACGATTGGGTTTATCTAGACGTGTTACGTTCGCGAAAGACGATTGGACTTATCTAGACGTGTCACGTTCAAGACTATGAGACTTATCTAGACGTGTCACGTTCAAGACGATTGGACTTATCTACACGTGTCACCTTCAAGACTATTAGACTTATCTAGACGTATCACTTTCAAGACGAGTGGACTTATCTAGACGTATCACGTTCAAGACTATTAGACTTATCTAGACGTGTCACGTTCAAGACGATTGGGTTTATCTAGACGTGTCACGTTCAAGACGATTGGGTTAACTTGACGTGTCACGTTCTCGAAAGACGATTGGACTTATCTAGACGTATCACGTTCAAGACTATTAGACTTATGTAGACGTGTCACGTTCAAGACGATTGGGTTAATCTAGACGTGTCACGTTCAAGACGATTGGGTTTATCTAGACGTGTCACGTTCTCGAAAGACGATTGGACTTATCTAGACGTGCTACGTTCAAGACAATTAGACTTATCTAGACGTGTCACGTTCAAGACTATTAGACTTATCTAGACGTGTTACGTTCAAGACTACTGGACTTATCTAGACGTGTCACGTTCGAGACGATTGGGTTTATCTAGACGTGATACGTTCAAGACGATTGGACTTATCTAGACGTGTCACGTTCAAGGCGTTTGGGTTTATCTAGACGTGTCACGTTCAAGACGATAGGGTTTATGTAGACGTGTCACGTTCAAGACGAGTGGACTTATCTAGACGTGTCACCTTCAAGGCGATTGGGTTTATCTAGACGTGTTACGTTCTCGAAAGACGATTGGACTTATCTAGACGTGTCACGTTCAAGACTATTAGACTTATCTAGACGTGTCACGTTCAAGACGAGTGGACTTATCTAGACGTGTCACCTTCAAGACTATTAGACTGATCTAGACGTATCACGTTCAAAACGATTGGAATTATCTAAACGTGTCACGTTCAAGACGATTGGGTTTATCTAGACGTGTTACGTTCTCGAAAGACGATTGGACTTATCTAGACGTGTCACGTTCAAGACTATTAGACTTATCTAGACGTGTCACGTTCAATACGATTGGGTTTATCTAGACGTGTCACGTTCAAGACGATTGGGTTAACTTGACGTGTCACGTTCTCGAAAGACGATTGGACTTATCTAGACGTGCTACGTTCAAGACTATTAGACTTATCTAGACGTGTCACGTTCAAGACTATTAGACTTATCAAGACGTGTTACGTTCAAGACTATTGGACTTATCTAGACGTGTTACGTTCAAGACTATTAGACTTATCTAGACGTGTCACGTTCGAGACTATTAGACTTATCTAGACGTGTCACGTTCAAGACTATTAAACTTATCTAGACGTGTCACGTTCAAGACCATTGGACTTATCTAGACGTGCCACGTTCAAGGCGACTGGACTTATCTAGACGTATCTCGTCCAAGACTATTGGACTTATCTAGACGTATCACGTTCAAGACTATTAGACTTATCTAGACGTGTTATGTTCAAGACTATTAGACTCATCTAGACGTGTTACGTTCAAGACTATTAGACTTATCTAGACGGGTCACGTTCAAGACTATCAGACTTATCCAGACGTGTCACGTTCAAGACGAGTGGGTTTATCTAGACGTGTCACGTTCAAGACGATTGGGTTTATCTAGACGTGTCACGTTCTCCAAAGACGATTGGACTTATCTAGACGTATCACGTTCAAGACTATTAGACTTATGTAGACGTGTCTCGTTCTAGACGATTGGGTTTATC